CCCAGGCTGGAGTGCAATGGCACGATCTCGGCTCACCGCAACCTCTGCCTCCTGGGTTCAGGCAATTCTCCTGCCTCAGCTTCCTGAGTAGCTGGGATTACAGGCACGCGCCACCATGCCCAGCTAATTTTTTGTATTTTTTGTAGAGACGGGGTTTCACCATGTTGACCAGGATGGTCTCGATCTCTTGACCTCGTGATCCACCCGCCTCGGCCTCCCAAAGTGCTGGGATTACAGGCTTGAGCCACCGCGCCTGGCCAGTTCTGTGTCTTTTAAGTGGAACACTTAGGCCGTTTATATTCAATGTTAGTATTGAGATATGTGGTACCCTTGCATTCATTGTACTGTTTGTTGCCTGTGTACCTTAGTTTTTTTATTTTTTGATTTTACTTTTTTTTTTTTTTTTTTTTTTTGAGATGGAGTCTCGCACTGTCACCCAAGCTGGAGTGCAGTGGTGCAATCTCAGCTCACTGTAATCTCTGCCTCCTGGGTTCAAGCAATTCTCCTGCCTCAGCCTCCCAAGGAGCTGGGACTACAGGCATGTGCTACCATACCCAGCTAATTTTTTGTAGTTTTAGTAGAGATGTACTTCATCATGTTGGCCAGGATGGTCTTGATCTCCTGACCTGATCTACCCGCCTCGGCCTCCCAAAGTGCTGGGATTGCAGACGTGAGCCACCACACCTGACCTGTTTTTGCTTTTTAAGTTATATATTTGTTTTACAGGTCCTGTGTAATGTATGCTTTAAAGAGGTTCTGTTTTGATGTGTTTCCAGGATTTGTTTCAAGATTTAGCTGCTTTTAGCAGTTCCTGCAGTGGTGGTTTGGCAGTGGTGAATTCTCTCAGCATTTGTCTGAAAAAGACTGTATCTTTCCTTCATATCTGACGCTTAGTTTCCCTGGATACAAAATTCTTGACTGATAATTGTTTTGTTTGAGGATACTGAAGATGGGGCCCCAAACCCTTCTAGCTTGTAGGGTTTCTGCTGAAAAATCTGTTGTTAATCTGATACGTTTTCCTTTATAGGTTACCTCATGCTTTTGTCTCACAGCTCTTAAGATTCTTTCCTTCATCTTAAATTTGGATAACCTGATGACAATGTGTCTAGCTGAAGATCTTTTTGTGATGAATTTCCCAAGTGTTTTTTGTGCTTCCTGTATTTGAATATCTAGATCTCAAGAGAAGTTTTCCTCAATTATTCCCCCAAATATGTTTTCTAAACTTTTAGATGTCTCTTCTTCTTCAGTACACTGATTATTCTTAGGTTTGGTCATTTAACATAATACCAGACTTCTTGGAGTCTTTGTTCATATTTTCTTATTCTTTTCTTTTTATCTTTGTTGGATTGGGTTAATTCAAAGACCTTATCTTCAAGCTCTTAATTTCTTTTTTCTACTTGTTCAATTCTATTGCCGAGACTTTCCACAGAATTTTGCATTTCCATCAGTATGTCCAATGTTTCCTGAAGTTTTTATTGTTTTTTCTTTATGGTGTCTATTTTCTTGACTGTTTCTTCCTTTGCTTCTCGTATTGTTTTTTGGATTTCCTTACATTGGGCTTCACCCTTCTCTGGTGCCTCTCTGATTAGCTTAATAACTAACTTTCTGAATTGTTTTTCAGGTAAATCAGGGATTTCTTGGTTTGGACTTCGAGCTGGTGAGCTAGTGTGATTCTTTGGGAGGTGTTAAAGAGCCTTGTTTTGTCATATTACCAGAGTTGGTTTTCTGGTTCCTTCTCATTTGGGTAGGCTCTGTCAGAGGAAGGTCTAGGGCTGAAGGCTGTTGTTCAGATTCTTTTGTCCCATGGTGTGTTCCCTTGATGTATTACTCTCCCCCTTTTCCTATAGATGTGACTTCCTGTGAGCCAAGCTGCAGTGATTGTTATCTCTCTTCTGGGTCTAGCCACCCAGCAAGTCTGCCGGGCTCTGGGCTGGTACTGCTAGTTGTTTGCATGGGGTCCTGTGATGTGAACCATGGGCCTCTCCACCATGGGTACCAGCACATGTTCTGGTGAAGGTGGCAGGGGGTTGAAATGGACTCTGTGAGGGCTCTTAGCTTTGGTGGTTTAATGTTCTATTTTTGTGCTGGTTGGCCTCCTGCCGTGAGGTGGTGCTTTCCAGAGAGCATCAGTTGTGGTAGTACGAAGAGGAACTGGTAGTGGGTGGGGCTGTGAACTCCCAAGATTATATGCCCTTTGTCTTCAGCTAGCAGGGTAGGTAGGGAAGGCCCATCAGTTGGGGACAGGGCTAGGCGCATCTGAGCTCAGACTCTTCTTGGGTGAGTCTTGCTGCAGCTGCTGTTGGGGATGGAGTGAGGTTTCCAGGTCAATGGAGTTGTGTACATAGGAGGATTATGGCTGCCTCTGCTGAGTCATGGAGGTTGTTGGGGAAACAAGGGAAATCCAGAGGTCACAAGCCTTACCCAGCTCCCATGCAAAGAAAAGACCAGTCTCACTCCCACAGTGCGTCCCCTAAGAGCCCCAAGTTTGTTTCCAGGCAGTGGGTGAGCAGGGCTTGAGAACTTGCCCCAGGCTACCTGCCTCCGAGCTGTGAAAGAAAAGGGCTTGGTTCTTCCCCACCTGTGGAGTCTGTGTGCCAGATTTGTACTGTCCCTCAAGTTCTGGCCAGGAAGCTTCTAGCCCAGTTCAAATTGTTACAAAGTTCAGCTGGAGACTTCCTTCCCCCTGTGGCATTTTTCCCTATGCCTCTGGCTGCCCTACTGATGGATCACTGTGGCGCCAGGCAGAAATGGGCTGCTTGGGGACCCAGCAAGCTCCCAGGGCCTTTCCTGCTGCTTCCTCTACCCCTGTATTTCGCTCAGCTCTCTAAATTGACTCAGCTCCAGTTAAGTTCAGAAACTTCTCCTGCAAACTAGACCTTCAGTTTCCCACTTCTGCAGATTGGGCGCTCACAGTATTTGGGATATCTCCTGGGTCCTGCAAGAGCAGTCTGATTTCTTCAGAGAGTCTGTGAGTCCTCTCAGCAGGTTTGTTCTTGCAGTCATTCTGGAGCTAAAATTCATGATGTAAGCCTCCACATGCTTCTCTGTCCATCCAATTCAGAGCTGTAATCTAGTTTTGCCTCCCATCTGCCATGATGATCCCTTCTGAGCTGAGCCATTCTTATTCAGAGTCATTTGCATTGCTATTGACAAATACCGTTCTCTTCCTGAGGCCCTGGGGACCATAGTTTCTTCATTATCTTCCCAACACACAACTCAATGCTTGGTGTACAGTTCAATGCTTAGGAAAGTTTTGTGTTGAATGGATTTTTATTTTACCTTCATGAAAACTTTCTAAAGTCATTAGTTCAAGTCAAGCATTATTATACCCATTAAGGCAACTCAGGAAACTAAAGGCTCAAAAAGATCAGAAATCTAGGGACAGGGTTGGAATTGTAAAGACCTAACTTTAAGCCTGTATTCTGACTTTTCATCTCTCTCCATATTTCATGACGATAAAAAACAAAATTGGGTGACAAATGGTATGAGTGATACCTAAATTTGATCTATTCTAATCAATTATTATAATAATATTTTTAAATGTCACTAATAATGAAACTAAGGAAAGAATGCTGTTTCCCTAATCACTGAGTTCACATCAGCAGACAGACTGCTGTAAAATAGAAAAGTTCTTCCGTTTGATATGGAAATGAATGCAAAGGTTTATGGTCATAGATATGTTTATGAGTTTTTCTCTGTACATTTTTATTTCTAGCTAAGGAAAAATTATAATTCAGTATCATTAATATAATAGTATTTATTTTGATTAACATAGTAGCTTCATGTAAATATTTCTGAGAGTTCCTCATTAGTCAGAACATGGAAGAAAATAATTAGGCCCTATCAGTAAAGCAACTCATGCTGGCATTCACACTGCATCACTGACATCAAAGTTTATGGTGTTCCATAAATTAGTATAGTTCTGTTTATGTGAAAATGTAAAACTGTGAGCATTATTTATAAAAGTGTGGTGCTAAGTAAAATATCTATATAATTCTTGTGATTTTTATATAAAGATTTGTTACAAACTTGCATGAAAATTCACCCTTAAAAGTAGTCATAGTTGGATTTCTTTTTTATAGCATCATTATTTATTTATCCTATCAGGCCTACCCCACTTATTTACTGGGCAAAAGAAGATGGAATTTTACCCACCAACAGGACATCTTATAAGAACTTTAAGAAAACCTTGCAGATCACTCATGTTTCAGAAGCAGACTCTGGAAATTACCAATGTATAGCAAAAAATGCATTAGGAGCCATCCACCATACCATTTCTGTTAGAGTTAAAGGTATATTGTTTAAAATGCATCTTCTTACCTTCATGAGAGACCCTGAAACTTTAATTAATGTGCTTTTGATTATATTTTTTAATAATGATAAATGTAAATTTATGTCAACATTCGTGGTACCTTGACTCTCCTCATTGCTATTTGTAGTTCATCTAAATCAGGTTAAAAATTTACTGTTCAAATCTTCCTCACAGAAGAATCCCAGTTAATAAACATAGGAAGAATGAGGGAAATAGAAGAGTCAACATTAGAATCCCACAGTAATAACTGCAGCAGGCAAGATCAAGCAATGAATACTAAAATTAGTGGGTGAAACGTTAAGGAGAAATAGGATATTTGCATAGCTCCAAAGTGTTTCGCTCCTCTAGAAATTAATTACTGGGAAGTTTTTTGGGTTTTTTTTGTTTTGTTTTGTTTTGTTTTTGAGACAGAGTCTTGTTCTGTCGCTAGGCTAGAGTACAGTGGTGCGATCTCGGCTCACTGCAACCTCTGCTTCCCGGTTCAAATTATTTCCCTGCCACAGCCTCCTGAGTAGCTGGGACTACAGGCATGCACCACTATGCCTGGCTAATTTTTTGTATTTTTTAGTAGAGACGGGGTTTCACCATGTTGGCCAGGATGGTCTTGATGTCCAGACCTTGTGATTCGGCCTCCCAAAGTGCTGGGAATACAGGTATGAGCCACTGCACCCGGCCTGGGGAAGTTTTAACATATCCACAAATTCTTTATTACTCCTTTCTCTAGAAGATGGAGCTTACTTCCCCTCTTCTTGAGTGGGTGCTGGACATTAATGAACAGCATATGGAATCCAGGGAAATAGTAACTTTGGAGCAGAGAAACCTGGCAGACACTGTCTAAACTAAGTGATGAATGTTAACATCAACAGTAATAAGTCAGATTGATATCATATATTCCCTCATGTGGTAAAATTAGAAGGGTTCATTGCCTTTGGGATATTTTCGAAAGCCCAAAACCTCAGGGTAATCATGAGAAAACATCAGACAAACCTAAGCTGTAAGGCAGTCTACAAAATAACTGACCAGTACTCTTCAAAAGTGTCGAAGTCACAAAAGACAAGAAAAGACCAAGAAATTATCAGATTGGAGACTATGACAAGTAAATGTAAAAGGTGTTACAAGTAAATGTGGTATCTAGGACAGGATCCTGGGACAGAAACAAGACATTAAGGCAAAAACTGGGGAAATCCTAACAGAATGTATAGTTTAGTTAAATACCAGTGTTAACTTTTCATTAGGTAACTGGACCATGGTGATGTAAGATGTTAACGTGATAGGAAGCTGCATGAAGGATGTATGGAAACACTGTAATACCTTTGCAACTTTTCAAAAATGATGTTTTTACATTGCTTCCTGATTATATATATTCTGCAGGTCTCAGAATTAATTTAATTTAATTTAATTTAATTAATTTATTTTTGAGATGGAGTTTCACTCTGTTGCCCAGGCTGGAGTACAGTGGCACAATCATGGCTCATGCAACCTCTGCCTCCTGGGTTCAAACAGTTCTCCTGCCTCAGTCTCCCAAGTAGCTGGGATTAAAGGTGCCCGCCACCAAACCTGGCTAATATTTTTGTATTTTTAATAGAGACATGATTTCACTATGTTGGCCAGGCTGGTTTTGAACTCCTGACCTCAAGTGATCCAGCCACCTTGGCCTCCCAAAGTGTCAAGATTACAGGCATGAGTCACCGTGCCTGGCTCTGAATTTAAACTTGTTTCTTAGCCCTACCTGTACCTGTAATTTGCCCTGTATGCTTAGATAAATCTGTCACCTCTTTGATGTCTGATTAATTTTAATGTAAAATAAGAAAATGATATTTGTATCAAACAGGTCTAGAAATAATACATATATGTCAGTGAGTCTCTTTAAACCTTCTTTTGAAAATCTTAAGTGTTCTTTGAGGATCGTTTATAAATCTATTCACTCAAAAAAAAAAAAAAAAAAAAAAAAAAAAACTGAAACTAACCAGTTTGGTGTGAAGTACTTTCTTGTATTATTAGAACAGTCAATGTGTTCTTTTGCTAAAATGCTTATTTGATTCAGAGTTTTGGTCTTTTTACTTCTTCCTATAAAGCGGCTCCATACTGGATCATGGCCCCTCAAAATCTTGTGCTGTCCCCAGGAGAGGATGGGACCTTGATCTGCAGAGCTAATGGCAACCCCAAACCCAGAATTAGCTGGTTAACAAATGGAGTCCCAATAGAAAGTAAGTTGCGTTGATTGGTTCTGGTTGCAGTATATTTTCTGAGCATATATACATCCCAACAGTGAACAAACGGTGATAAAAAATAATTCAGGTTAAGGAAGGAAGCCACATGTGTGTTAAACAGAAGCATCAAATTACCTTTCGAGTTTTATTACCATTAGGTATTTATTATGAATGTGAGTAGTTTATGTTGTTAACATAATGGTATGTGATAACTAGGACTTGACAATATTTCCTCTGTTTTTTACATGAATATTGTGAAGAAAAACAGCATCAGAAATAAATATCACTGAAAAGTTTAGATGATCTTTGTGCAAAACATCAGGTGATTTGTGGAAATGTCATAGGCACTGGAGGAGGTAGGTGGGGAGACTCAGTATACAGCCAGTTGATACGTCATGCATAGGAAACCTAGCTGTCTTTAATTTAAAGAGTTTTCAGTCATAAGTGTAACCCAGGTGCTCCCACGTTCTCCAGTCTCCCAAGGTCACTGTCCCATTTGATACCCAAAGAAGACCACATCCTCTGACCCTGATCAGATCCAGGATGCTTTGCCTCTGAGTAGCGTTCCCTCCCTGAGAGCTGCTGGTGTCATCCTTGAGCAGCACCTGGGCAGTTGTACCTGTCACCCCGTTCAGCAGCCTCCGTGCTCTGCCGCTCTACTCCTGGCTCTTCATTAGCCAATTTCTCCAAGCTGCCACTATGCTGCCCAACATGTGGCCTCAGGCCGTCCCATTAATGTACTAAATCATAGCAAAGGCTAGCTTTATAAAACTTGGCTAAAGGCTTAGGGAGAGTCGAGGGAATTATAACGCAGAAAAAAACTTTAAATGGATATTGCACCTCACTGCTCCTGAATTCCTAAGCCATGGCCATGAACAGAGTGATCCCACTGGACTCTCCTCGTCTTCTACCCTACCCATCACCAGCTACTGCTAAGAGGAGCATCTTTTAACATTTTCCCCTTCTTGGAGTTCAGACCTCCTCTTAGACACTGAGACATAGAAAGTTAAACCCAGCCTTAGGTTTACCGTTCCAGTCAATAACATGATTACCTGCAAAGCTATTCTTTACTCACAAAGAAGACAGCCCTCAAGCTTCTGATACAGGGCAGATTGGCTTTGACTGCCTCCAAGTCAGAATCCAATATTGGTTCTACATTTACATAAGCAAAAGTTCTGCTGAATTGACTTTCCTGAAGTAACACACACACTTCCCCTAAGATAGTTCCAAAAAACTGCTGGTAGATTTAAGGTGGCACAACTTCCTGTTTCTCACCATCAAGGTCTGACAACTGCAGGGTGACTGAGTCATTGTAGCCTGCCCGATGTTTTAATTGAAAGAGTGTTTATTGGAAGTTCACTTGTGTCTCATTGCATAGTAGCTGTCAGATACTTTGAAACAGGCAGCCTGTGTTCACTGTAAAAGGAAGTATATTATTCCTGGGACAAAACAGATGCTAGAGGCTAGCAAATAGGGTTTGGATATTTCCACTTCCAATTTTAACCAGAATCAGGATCAGGAGAAATGGCAGAAAATGCTTTGTGGTTGTGTTTTAGGGAGCTCTTGCTACTCTCAGGGGAGTATGAGTAAAAACTGAGAGGAAAAAGTAGAAGAAAGCCCAGAACTAAAGAAGTTTTATGGTGGCCAGGTGCAGTGGCTCCGCCTGTAACCCCAGCATTTTCAGTGGCTAAGGCCGGCGGATTGCTTGAGTACAGGAGTTAGAGACCAGCATGGGCAACATAGCAAAATCCTGTTTCCCCAAAACATAAAAAATTAGCTGGTACAATGTATGATTTTCTCAGGAATGCATACAAAATGGCAATACATGATGATACATTCTTGATACTTTTACACCATGTTTTGCAGCTCAGAGTTTTTGTGTCCGTTTATGGAAAGTTAAAAGTGCCCCTAAGATCTAGACTCAGTGAAACTGACAAATGGAAGGGACCATCCATCTAGCCCTTCAGCAGGGAAAACGGGGGAAGGAGGGGATAAAGTTTGGCAACCAGAGTGCAATCCTATGCAAGGAAAATTGAGATGTGGGTGGATGACATAAGCAAGGGGGGATTCATTAATGAGGCTGATTTTTGGTCTTGATTTGCTCAGCTTGTTGTCCTTCTAAACCAGCTGTCTTAGTCCATTCCTGCTGCTATAACAAAATGCCTTAGACTGGGTAGTTTATAAACAAGAGAAATTTATTGCTCACAGTTCTGGAGGCTGGAAAGTCCAAGAACAAAGCACTAGCAGATTTGGTGTCTGGTGATGGGCTGTTCCTCACAGATGCTGCTATGTGTCATCACGTGGTAGAGGGGGACATATGGGCTCCCTCAAGACCTTTAGAACAGCACCAGTCCCATTCGTGAGGGGGAAACTCTCATTTCCTAATCACCTCCCAAAGACCCCGCCTCTTAACCTTGGATTAAGTTTCAACATGAATTTTGGAGGGACACAAATATTCAGACCATAGTATCAGAGCATGCAGTGCCTCTGAAGGAACCTTGCAAGTCCAGTCATCTTAAGGGCCTTGAAAATATACTCATGGCCAGGTGCGGTGGCTCACGTCTGTAATCCCAGCACTTTGGGAGGCCGAGGCAGGCAGATCATGATGTCAGGAGTTTGAGACCAGCCTAGCCAATATAGTGAAACCCCATCTCTACTAAAAATACAAAAATTAGCTGGGTGTGGTGGCATGCGCCTGTAATCCTACCTACTCAGGAGGCTGAGGCAAGAGAATCACTTGAACCTGGGAGGTGAAGGCTGTGGTAAGCTGAGATCCTGCCACTGCACTCCAGCCTGGGCGACAGAGCGAGGGGGGGGGGGGGGGGGGGGGGAGGGGGGGAGGGAGGGAAAGGAAAAGAAGAGAAGAAGAAGGAAGAGGGAAGTGAGAGAGGGAGGAAGGAAGGAAGGAAGGAGAAAGAGAATACACTCATAATATGATAATACTCCCATTTTAAGTCACATTTTTGTGGGGAGGATCGGCTGCAAAAGGCCTGCTTTGGGGGTAGAGAGCAGTAATATCAGGGAGACAAGTTAGGTCGTCTTGCAAAATTGTCTGATTAGGTAGAGAAGAAAGAGTTAGGACTAAATATCTCAAATCAGATCGGCTCATTTCTTCCATCCCAAAAGTCCTCTTTAAGCCCCATGAGATGGAAAAAAGGAGGCTGAGCCGGCGTGGCTGGAATTCCACAGCTCCTTAGATACAGTGTCGCTCAACCTCTAGTGTGCCTCAGAGCTGTCACTGTGGTGGACATGCAGGGAGAGGAATACCACATGGTGTGGCAGCAAAGCAAGGAGCCTGGCACCACCAGTCTGCTCCATGGTGCTTAGGAGCAGGTGCTGCATGTTTATACCAAGATGATGGGAAGCTTCCCTGGAAGGGGTCTTTCTTGATATCTCGTGGCCAAGCAGAAAGTGGATTACCATTGGGACATCTCATAACTAAAAGGCAGTGAGCCAGCAGGGCCCTTGCCCAGCTTTCTGCTCTAGGACACTGCAAAGGTACGGCTGTTCCCTGCCTCACCCTTCTGCAGCTGACCCATCTGCAGCTTCTGCTAAGTGCCTTCTTGGGTGGATGCTAAGTCTTAAGCAGCTAAGTACAAAGTGAACCCTGCATGCTCCCACCGTGTGTTGATCTCCCCAATCCAAAATAACAGGAAAATGAGGGTGGTGCGGAAACTATCCAAAAAAATGATAGATGTTTAAGGAGCCTTGTGCTGCCATCCCTTTCATCCCCTGCTTGGTACTTGCTCTGTGAATTTAGAGGCCCCTAAAGGGAATTGCTTTTGAGGGCTGGGGACCATCATGGAAAGGGGCCACCAGTGCTTGTTTCCCATCTGCAGTTTTCTGACTTCTCCACCTCACAGATACATCAGCAGCACTGGGACACAAGGAAAGGATGGCAGGGAGATGCCAAGAGGTGAGGCTAGGAACTGAGGGCACAGTCTGCCACAGTGTGTGATGGTGCTGAATTAGCACAGTGAAGACTCCTCGCCTTCATCATAGCATAGGCCCCAGAAGTTAGCTGGGAGCAAAAGCTGGCTTGCTGACCATACTTTCTACCCAAGGGACTATAGACATTGCAGGTGGACCAGCTGCTGAGGGTTAGGGGCAAGAAACAGCTGTGCCTCTGAAGTTCTGTCCTGCAGGGGCTGTGCAGTGTCCCCTGCAGTGCCTGAAGTTTGTCTCTTGTGCCACACAACAGAGACACAGTCAGGGGACCATACTGCCATATACACAGCCACCCCACTCCTGACTTGTGGGCGAGCACCTAAGGATATTGACTGCCTCATCCCGCCTCTGCAGGCTCTGGCTGCCAAGTGCACACAAATACTGTAAAAGGAGAAGCTGGTTCAGGGAGGGGAGTGGTAAGATGGGTTCTGTTAGCAAAATGTGATGTTATTGATCTGCGACTGTGCATTTCAGACCTGAAAGCTACTGTTTTAAAAGACTGGAAAAATTAACTTCAAAAGTGTCTGGGTGTTTATCTCAGTGTCTTCTAAAGCTTTGCCCTTCCCCACTCCCCAGGACTGGCCAGATTACTTCAAGCTTTCTTGAAGCACAAATCACAGGCTGTATTAAATAAATGTGGAATTTTCCCAAAACCACCTAAAAATAGTTTTAAAACAATCTACAGAAGTCAGGAAAAAGAACAGAGCTGCAGAGAACTGGTACCAAAAGAGAGCTTTGATTTTATTGTGTGATGGGAGGGTGTGAAAATAGAACCCAGGACCAGAAAGAAGATGAACTGGCTATTGGCAGGATGGGGCCAAGCATTTCCCTGCTGTCCCCCAGGAGGTTGCCTTTCAGGACTTCACAGTCACCCTTGGGTGGGTATCTTTGAGTCCCTTTTCCTCCTCTTGGTCTTCCCCATTGGAGAACCTGTGCCAATCCAGCTGGTGATGCCCAAGGCCATGCCACTGTGATTCCTATCTCTGCGGGAGAGTCTAACATTTGCAGATCCTTCACAGTTTCCAACGTGCGTTGTATTAGGTCTCTCAGACTCTTCTGCATGAAACATGTATAAGATCACACCATTATTGTATTGAAAGGCCCCTGTCCCCTCAGGGATGAGAGGGAAAAGAGCTAAGAGAATGGGAGTGGGCAGAAGACCTTCTCCTGGCACAATGACATGTTTTGCTCACAATGAAAGATGTTGAAAGCCAGCAACATAAGATAAGCACCAGGAGAATGGAGGACTAGCCCAGGATATTCCTGGGATTTCATCAAGGCATCCTCCCTTCTTCCTTTTCACAAAACTAAGGGGCTCAGTGGCATCCCCTTGTAGGAATGGAATAAGAAAATGAAGAGGAAAATTTAACTCTTCACCTGGAAATTTGTTTTACATTATGTCCAAATGTTCACATTCCAGGAAATGTTTACACAGTCTCCTGAGAAAACCTGAGCAGTAACCTCATTTAAACAAACCAGTGCATGCTCCCATTTGCAGTCTCTCATCTCCATAATGCATAAAATACTATCTGATTAATCTGTTTCACAAAGTTCTTTTTAAAATAAAATTATGCAGTAAATGTAAAACATTTTAAAGATTGATCGTACTCTGTTCATGTAAGATGGCATGATTATTATTATTTTCATTATCTAAATGTTGAAAGTATTTATAGTTTTACCCACCAACGTCAGGAGAGCTGGTTTAAAAGAAAGTATTTTCTGAAGGCCGTCACCCCAGTTCTGGACCTTACCTTTGGGGCTTTAAGTTATTTGTGGTGATTCTGTGCTTTTAAATTCCTCTCTCCAGTGTTCATTGACAGCAAATGAAGTTGATTATTCCCAGAATTAATGATTATTCCTCTGGATAATTCGGATTTGCATGCTAGAGAGTTATTCTACCCTCTAGCCAGCCCATCCAAAGGCTTCAAATGTCTCTACCTTGGTGATTTTACATTGTGTCCAGCTACCAACCAAGCCTCCATATGCCACCGTGACAGTTCCTGGGGTTGTTTGCATTTTTTTAACAAGTACTTAAGGAAAATGTAGCCCAAACTCCCATGGAGAGAGGCCTGCTTACTCATTATTCTTACCTAAAGGGTTTATTTTGTTCCTAAATACCTTGCCAAAAATAAATATTTAAAGACTGCTCTATTTAACATATATAAGGCAAATACAGTCACATGCTTTTCAGGTAAAAGATATCTTCCCAAAGAGTTGCTAGCAAAAAAAACTGCAACTGAGAGCTACAGAAAAGGTTTCTGACATGGTTTGTTTGTGACTGATGAGTCTCCACTTGGGGAAAATTGTCCTGTGGACATTGTTGAGCTTTGTCTTCCGTGTTCCTGGTCATGTAACATTATTATTATTATTCTGGTAAAAACACATAACATAAAATTTACCATCCTAACCATTTTAAGTTCACAGTTCAGTAGTGTTAAAGATATTCACATTATTGGGCAACAGATCTTTGGAACTAGAACCCTTTATTCATTAAATGTCACGTGTTGATGTAACTTTTAAAATCTCAATATACCTAAGGAATTTGAAGAACACTTCTTAATATTGTCTGCCACCCATCCAGAGAGATTCGGCCCAGAGCTCTGCCTGGGCCTCATCACGGTCTAAATACACAGCCACTCCACTCCACTGCCTGGAATATCCACATAGATGCAGTCAGGGTGGGCACGTGGTGGGCACTGAGAGTACCCTCAAGAGTCCCAGCACTGAGAGCCCAAGTGCTGGGTCCAGAGGTGCTAAGAATCTTTTTTTTTTTTTAGTGACCTTAAAAATTCAGTTTGTTTCTCTACTTTATTTTTGTATTATTTTTTATTTCCATAGGTTTTTGGGGAACAGGTGGCATTTGGTTACATGAATAAGTTCTGAGATTTTGGTGCACCCATCACCCGAGCAGTATATACGCTGTACCCAATTTATAGTCTTTTGTCCCTCGCTGCCCCCCCACACTTTTCTTTGAGTCCCCAGAGTTCAGTATCTCATTCTTACGCCTTTGCATCCTCATAGCTTAGCTCCCACTTATAAGTGAGAACATATAATATTTGTTTTTCCATTCCTGAGTTACTTCATTGAGAATACTGATCTCCAGCTCCACCTAGGTTGCTGTGAATGCCATTATTTCATTCCTTTGTATGGCTGAGTAGTATTTCATTATATGTATATGATGAAATTATATATATATGATGAAATTTTATATCCACTCATTGATTGGTGGGCATTTGGGCTGGTTCCATATTTTTTGCAGTTGCAAATTGTGCTGCTATAAACATGCATGTGCAAGTATCTTTTTTGTATAACCACCAGAAGTGCTAAGAATCACTGACAGGGAACAAGTCTCCAGAAATGCCACTTTATGTTCCAGAACCCCTCGTTGAGGCAGTGGGTGATCATCACTGAGATTGTGTGAGTCAGAATCGCCCCAGTGATACAAGACTTGGGATCTGGGACCCATGGGCCGCCCTAAGGTACACTGCGTTTTCAGGGTTCATGACTGCCTGCCACAGCTACAGTTCACTTTCTAGGCCAGTGTGACATATCCATCCTCTGCTGTCTTTTATCAATGAATCTGTATACCCTGTTGGAGGAATTATGACTTGTATTTGTCTTCAGTTTGGAAGAACATGTTCCGTAAGGCAATTTTGAAATTATTAGAGCCATAAACAGGAGATGTAAGCTAAGAAGCCAATTCAGAGTACCTCAACACCCCCGCATCACTGGTTGAACAACCTGAAGTATCTAAGATGATTTCATAAATGAGTTACTGACGGTGAGCAGAGTGTTGAACAGCTACTTCTTTTTACATTCCTACTTGGAAATGAAGACATTAATCAGTCCATGAGGAGTAACTCATAAGTTGGAGTTTTAATAATACTTGGATGCTAAAAGCTTGTTCTGAACTTAAATGTATAGTGAATTTTTAAAATATTCTAGTCTAAAACATCTAAAAGACTTTTAGACTATAAATGTGATTCAGTATGTGTTAGACAGAGCAATCCCCCTGCCACAATGTCTACATCCCAATCCCTGGAACCCATGAATATGTCCCTTTACATGGCAAAAGGGAGTTTGCACGTGTGATTAAGGTAGAGGGCCTTGAGGTGGGAAGGTTATCCTAGACTGTCTAATTTGGGCCCAATTTAATTACATGAGCCCCCAAAAGCAGAGTACTTTTTCTGGCTCTGGTTGGAAAGAAAAGTGACTATGGAAGAACAATCAGAGAGATGCAACATCGACAGCTTTGAAAATGGAGGAAGAGGACCATAGTCCACGGAATGTGCGCAGCCTTCAGACACTGGAAAAGGCAAGGACATGGATTCTCCCCTAGAACCTTCAGAAAGCGACGCAGCCCTGTGCATGCATTGGTTTTAGCTCAGTGCGACTCATGTCAGACTTCTAACCTACAGAACTCTATGATAGTAAATTTGTGTTGTTTTAAGCCACTACATTTGTGGTAATTTGTTACAGCAACCGTGGAAAACTATTACAGAATGAAGGCGCAAAATGCCTTGATTATATGTCATAAAACAAGGATATGCTGTGGTTTGGTTGATTTTTGTTACAATGGGTTAATAAACCACAGATGAAACGAATTTATTTTAAAAGTGGTAAGTCTAAGTGCAGTGATAAATATGTCTTAGATGCATATTTTTTTCCTATCATCAAAGAAAAAGAAATAGTGTTTAGAAAGAATATAAAGGCTTCTTAATTGGTTCAAGTTGCAGGAGCAGTTTAAGAGAAAAGGTGCTGTTACTTAGTTTTGATTCTGATCATCGTGTTGAGACAGAGACCTAAATCCCTCTTAGTGTACTTCTAAAGCAATATAAGCTCAGAGCCTGAAGTGTATCATTCACAGAAAGGAATTCATCTCTAATCTCACAGAAATTCCAAATTGCTGGGCATACCTGGGACTAAATCCTCACTTATTATGTTACCCAGCCAGTTCTATTCCACTTCAGTAAGGATCAAATCCTGGTCCTAACATTTAAGTACTTGAGAGATTTAGCTGAAAACGTTGTCTTCAAGAAGAATGTACACAATTTATTTCTACTTCAGCTTCAAGAATATCCAAAGCAGAAAAATATTTTCACATTTGATTATTAGCCCCATATTTATGTGTTTATGTATTTTTTAATTTATTTCTGTCAAGAAGAGTCTTCAAAAAGGAACAGATTTGAGCGAGCTGGAGGGTTTCTTTATTTTTTACTAGCTTTTGCTATTTCCTCTTGATCATTAATGATTTTTTCTCATAAATAACCAAAATCTCTTGAACAAGGAATGTTTTCCTGAATTTGTAATGCAATTTTCACCTAAACTTATGGGAGTTTTTTTCTGCATCTCTCAAAAGAGTGCTTAGTGTTACAGAATCAGTCTACTTTAGACTATGTGAATATTGAGGACATACCCTTGCCAATATATTAAATTCTGAGAAGAAAAGTGTTACGGTTTCTGCCTAAATTCTGGTCTAATTCTTACTGCATATACTTAGATCTGCTTTTATTTATGTCCTACTAACTTTACAAGCTTAATATACATCTTTTAAGCAAATAGGAATAAATACTTTCTATTTTTACATCCAAACAGTTGCCCCTGATGACCCCAGCAGAAAAATTGATGGCGATACCATTATTTTTTCAAATGTTCAAGAAAGATCAAGTGCCGTATATCAGTGCAATGCCTCTAATGAATATGGATATTTACTGGCAAATGCATTTGTAAATGTGCTGGGTAAGCTCTCCTTTTATTAAAGACATGGCAAATTAAATTAATGACTGTTGTTATTTTCTGCTCAGTCAGCAAAAATACATTGAGCATCTACTATGTGCATTGTACAGTACTTGGAATTACAAGAGATGGATCAGATAAACCTTGCCCTAGAGAATATTGCAGTTTTAATGTCCTTTAATAACAGTTTTTATACTGGCAAATCCTTCATTCTAAAACTAGTCAAATAGGCTGTTCCACTTACAGATGTTTAGACTAAGTGTCAAACCCTCAAAAGGAAAATAGCATTTGTCTGCTATTAGTAACTGAATATTATTGCTCTTCCATCGCAAGAAACTGACAAGTTAAATAACAATTTAATGATTCTGATTTTTAAAAACTAAACCGTTAATCATAAAACTTGGACTTCATCCAAGTCACAGATGTACATTTATTTGTAAAAATATATTTTAAAAAGTCTGATATACTGAAACATATTCTCAAATAATTGGTTTATGTGAATGTTATATTTCCTATATTGGACAACACTACCAAAATGCCACATTTGTGAAAATTTTTGTGAGAATTGTTTTCATGGTGCCAGGAAATTATACTTCAACCCTTTGAAATTAATATACTTCCTTTTCAAACAAAATTACCATCAGAAAGCCAACCAGTACTTGGTATTTTTCTTTCATGCTTGACATGAAGGTCACTAATCCTACTGAAAAGCTAAGCAGTGAAGATATATTGTTGGATGTTGAGAAAGCACTTTTGGCTGCTGGTTTCTTCTTCATCTCCACTTTTATGAGTTCAACAACGTTTTTAGATTTTACATATAAGGGAGATCATGCCATGTTTGTCTTTCTGTATCTGGCCTGTTTCATTTAACATAACATCCTACAGGTTCATCCATGTTGTCAAGACATGAATAACATGAAGGAAATGACAGAATTTTCTTCTTTTTTAAGGCTGGATAGTATTCCATTGTGTGTATATACCACAGTTTCTTTATTCTGTTCATTCATTGATGGGCACTTAGGTTGATTCTTGACTATTGTGAATAATACTGCAGTGAATGAAAGGGTTCAAATATCTTGACATACTGATTTTCTTTCCTTTTGATATATACCCAGTAATGGGATTGTTGGATCATATGGTAGTTTCGCGTATAAACAGTTAATGTTTTGAGTATAAACAGTGTACACAATCTTTATAACATTTTCCATAATGGCTATACTGACTTGTATTCCCTCCTCCCACAGTATTTAATGTTCCCTTTTCTCCACATGCTTGCCAACACTTAGATCTCCTCTTTTTGATAGTAGCCATTCTAATAGGTGTGACATAATATCTCATGTGGTTTTAATTTACATTTATCTGATGACTGGTGATGCTGGGCATTTTCCCGTAATACCTGTCAGCCATTTGTATATCTTCTTTTGATAAATGTCTAGTCCAGTCCTTTGCCCATTTTTATCAGATTATTCATTTTCTTAATATTGAATTATTTGAGCTCTTTATATATTTTGGTATTAACCCCTTACCAGATAGATGGTTTGCAAATGTTTTCTGCCCTTCTATAGAGGCTGTCTCTTCACTCTGTGGACCATCTCTCTGACTCTGCAGGCTTTTTAGTTTGGTGTAATCCTATTTGTCTGTTTTTGTTTCTGTTGCTGTAGTTCCATTTTTTTAGTCATCATG